TCCTGGTGCAGGCCTGGAGGAGCCGACAGCGTTGCCTGTGGATATTCACATAAAAGGTAAAAACTTGCAAGATGGTAGCTGCCGTGAGGTGGCCACATCTGGGGGTGTGTTTTTCTTTGAAAGTTGGAGGTCCAGTGGCAGGAGATGACAGGAGCTCATGGCACAGTGCCCGAGGTTTTCTTCTGGTTCCTGGCCACTCCCCACAAGAGCCCTCTAGGGTGAAGAAACCACCCAGTGCTGGGGCAGGAGCTGGCCGCCCTTCCACCGCCCTCTGCTGGAACCTGGGGACACTGCGGCTCGGCTTGCTGCTTGCTTCTCTGCTTTCAGGTTTGCTGCAGGTCTGGGACCTCGTGAGACCTGGCCTTACCCTGGGCTGATCCTTTTGAACGCAGGCAGCTCACAGATGCACAGCACTGGACTACACCCACTGGAGGCCCCGAGCAGCAACACAGCCCCCTGTGGGTATGGGGGCCCTTTGTGTCACACCAGGACACCTGCTGCTGTTCACCTCCTGCTGAGTCTTGCTTCCCAGGGTCTGTCCAAGGACAGCCCCCTCCCTCCAGTCTGGACCAGGGCTTCCTGTCTGGCTTGCCTCTGGTGGGGATGGCAGGCACAGGCAGCCAGGGGAGGGGGGCTAACCCACCAGGCCCAGCTCCACCAGAAGGCAGCCCAGGGAGGGCTCACCGCTGTCTCCTCCCTCCTTGGAGGTGTGGTGTTCTGCCAAGTGTGACTGGAGAACAGACTCTCCCAGGTCTCAGCTCCACAGGAAAGTCTATAGTGTGACCTCTGGTGGGCACTCAAGGTCACTGCATAGAGCGTGATCCCAGCCCTCAGTATGAAATGAACAAAGAAGCCGTTGGATGGTTTTCAAGCCTTGACCTTGAGCCAGGTGTGGTGGTACACACCTGTAATCCCAGTGACTCAGGAGGCTGAGTAGGAGGATCCCAAATTCAAGGCCAGCCTCTGTAACTCAGTGAGGGCCTAAGCAACTTAATGAGACCTGGTATCAAATAACAACAACAACTTAAAAAGGAACTGGGAATGTGGTTCAGTGTTTAAGTGGCCCTGGGTTCAATCTCTGGTACCAAAAGAAAGAACTTTTCTCCTGGGTGACTGGAGAGTCCGCATGGCAGATGGGCAGCCACCTGAGTCTTCTTGGGAAGCTGTGTCCCTGACCTTGCTCTTTGTCTCCCTCTCCTTGAAGGGGTGACCCCACTGCACCTTGACCTAGGTCCAAAGGCCCAACTGTACCAACGCTGCCACCTGCCGTCACCCAGGAATCAGAGAGTCCTCCTGTCCCCACCGGTCTGACACAGCCAGAGCAGTACCACTGATAGTTGTGGGGCCTGGGGGATCGGGGTGCAGGTGTGCGCAGGTTGGCTGGGCGCCACATGGCTGGGGAGCTTCTCGCCGCTGTCCCCTCCCCCCCTTGGAGGTGTGGTGTTCTGCCAGGTGTGATGGGAGGACAGACTCCCAGGTCTCAGCTCACCKGAGAGTCAACACAGTGGCTGGGTCTTGGAGGGCCAGTGGGTGTTGGCGGACACCTGTGGTTGGGAGCAAGCACCATGAGGAGACAAAGTCCCACCGTCCCTCAGACCCCTGTGGAGTCTCCCCTCCTCCWTGGCCTCCCTTCCTCACTCTGCCCCTCCCACCGGTGGCCTCTCCTCCACCGGGTGCTGGAGCCCCTCCTAGGAGCGCTGCTGGGTGTCATCCCTGCCCTCTGTGAAGCCTGAGTTCCATAGAGGGACCCTTTCTGTCCTGTACGGGCCCCTGTGCTTTATACTTCAGAAGAGCAGGGTTGTGTCATCCCCAGGAGTCACCGTTCGCCACTGTGGGGACAGAGCACCCTCGAGTGTGGGGCATCTGTCGGTGGGTCCTGTTTGCTGGGCAGCCCCTGCCTGCTGGTGACGATGGGCTGTGGGGCGCATCGGCCGGTCCCTCCCTCTTCTGTTAATGGTGCTGTGTTTTTCCAGTTGGGTTTTCCCTCAGTACCAGGGTTGAACCCAGGGGTGCTTAGCCACTGAGCCACACCCCAGCCCTTCTTAATTTTTTTTTATTTTGAGACAGGGTCTTGTTAAGTTGCTTAGGGCCTTTCTGAGTTGCTGAGCATGGTCTCAAACTTGTGATCCTCCCGCCTCAGCCTCCAGAGTCGCTGGGATTACAGGCCTGCCCCCCACACCTGGTGGTAGCAGGACGTGTTAGGAATAGGCG